ACGAGATGGGGCTTCATCGTGAAAGGCCAATCGTAGTCTATCATAACTTTCTTGTTGACTTAAATGACATCGAAAGTCATAAAAAATCATTGCACGAAAATTTTCTCGTGTTAAATTCATGATGACGTGACACAGACAATTTTCAATTTGCCGCCAAATCGTAAAACAAATGACAAATGAATGAAATATATACTCAGTAATATTGGCAAAGAGTTATATTTTCAAATTTTAGAATTATTTTTTTATTATATTGTTTATAAGTGGCCAGTTCTAAGAACTTTCAGTTTGACCCTCGTATGTTTTAGAAATGCTGCCCAAAGTAATTTATACCACCCGGACGAAGTCGCGGGCAAAAGGTAGTGTAAAACAAACGACGACCGTTGTGGTTTTGTTCCTCTGTCTAATGTAAAAAATGGAAGTACAAAAGTTTTTGAAGGCACTTTTTTCTCGCTGCATGTGATATCTTAAACTAAGTTTTTCTAAATTTCACTATATAATGATTAATTTGAGGTCGTTAATTAGTACTCTATTTAGCATTTTATACTTGTTTTTTTAAACTTGCCACAAAAGAGTCCCATAGATCTGACTTCAGGAAATATTTCTCAGGAATCACCCTTTCATAATTTTACTTAATGCTTTTAGTGTGTTTTGTTTGACAAACGTCTATGCTTGTAAAACCACAATAAGGACGTTCATCTATTTATTTTACATTAGCAAGATTGTAAACTAGATTGTTTTAATAATTATGCAATGATATAGGTATTATTTAATTAGTCAATTTTAAAGTTATGCGGTGTTTCGGCGGCACCCAACGCCCCAAACCCATTTGGCTGATACAGGTTATTAAAAGTTGTCGCGGGCTGCAGGCGGGACGTGAACGGCACTTTGACAGCTCCCCATCCCGACCCAAGGGACCGGGTTCGATTCCGTCAACGTGGAAATTTCATTAATCCCGCATTAAAAAGTTTCCCGTTTTCCATCCTTAATCGTTTTGTTGGCTGCTTCAATGAATTAATATTTCAATTACAATTTATGTATACTTACTTATACGGGTAGTATTGTGCATTATGTATATTGATATGATGTATCTTTTTAGTATATTTTTCATTAGGAATATTTCTTAGTATAGCTTTGTGAATGTGAAATTGGTATACCTATACCCAAACAGTCCCCTATTACGTTTGTCTAACCCAAACAGTCCCCTATTACGTTTGTCTGTTTTTACTATCTGTCTGTCCGTCTGTCATCCGGCTGTATCTCGTAAACCATGATAGTTAGATAGTTGAAATTTTCACAGATGATGTATTTCTGTTGCCGCTTTAATAACAAATAATAAAATAACTATTTAAGGGGGTTCACAACCGTGTTTTTTTTGTGATTTGCATATAAAATGCCACGGAATCCTAAGTGCGCGAGTCCAACTCGCACTAGGGTGGTTTTTATGCAGTATTTTTCGTGATGAGTTATTATTAGATATAAGTTTTAACGAAATAATCAATAATTTTCCAAATCTAAAAGGGGTTGTATTATTTTACGACCTCCGCCGAGTCTCATCATCTCTGAGGTGTCGGGTTCGTTACCCATTACATGTATTTATAAGTTTTTAAAATTTGCATCTGTTAGATGATGGTAAAAGTTTAAATTGATAGGCGACAACAAATATAAACCTTTTTAGGGTTTATAATAAAAAAAAATGCTTGTTTAAAAAAGAATGCTATTAGGAGGCGATATTTCCACCGCACTTTATAGCCGACCTTTACTATCTTTATTAGCATGGCTCCTCCGAATATGCAAAGCGCTTAAGACTGGGTATTTAATTGCCCTTGAAAGGGGCGCAAAAAATAAACGTCCCGGTATAAATAACGGTGCACTTTTCATAATCGCAATTGTCGCCGAGAGAATATTTAGTGCGCCGTAAAACTAGGGTTGGTACAATAACTAGTTCTTTCTCAATAAATAATATGTCCTTTTCAATTTTTCCGTTCATAATTTTCAAATACTGGTTAATAAAAAACATAATCGTTCTATGCTAATAACTACATACTTATAGTTTCTTCCTTATTGAGATTGGCAGCTTATTTCATGAGCATGAAGAGTTAAATAATTACATATATATACAAAATATATTCAGTAATAGGTAAATAGGTTATGTTAGTAATTGACTGGGTTTAACATAATATAAATAGGTATGGTAAAACCAATTTAAACAGCGCCATTATAGTTATAAGTACAAAAGAAAAACATGCAATATAATTTACAAAGGAATATGTGCTATTAAATAAATTATATATATGGCATTTGATTGTTTACCTCCAGTTTTTATTATTTTGAAGTAATGAACGAGTTTCTCTTTAAAATCAAAACTTTTCGTATTCTCCCCCCCACTCATTAGCCTTTAGCTTTAGGGGTTTTACAATAATTGTAATTACACAAATTGCACTCTATATTACTGAATTTCGTAAACTAGTAAGTCACCAACCCTACAATCGAACAGGTCGTATCCGATTGCGGCAGTGGCGGGGGGTGTTCCTTACGAGGGGATGATCTTGTACCCGAGTGGGCTCTAACGAGATGCATCGTCAGGTATTTGCTATTGACAGTTTAGAAATCAGCACTTGAGATAAAGATCTTACGGCTATACTTTTAAACTGAGAACACGTCCTGTTTGGAATGAGTTTACTTTGATTATGGAACTTTTAATTTATTTATTTATTAATATTGTAAATATCTATGTAACTTATTCTTAGCATAATAATTGAAACATGCTCGAGAAATCAGTAGAAATAGATTATGAATGTTTTTTCGATTGTGAAAGTTAAGCAACTAACACAAAAGTCGGTAATCAAGTGGGTTACCAAAAATTTTTTGTTCTTAACTTCTTCTATGTTTTCGAAGACACGTTAAGTCGTTGGTCCCGGAAACGTTTGCAGTTTTTAACACTAACCAAATCTAACTGGCCCCGAGTGGTGGTTTATGGCCTGTTCTCCCTATGTGATTCTACTATAGGGAATGTGACATTAATTGGCTGACGACTGATAAAGATGTAAATCAGGCGTTTAAACAAATACAAGTTAAACCGTTGTATTATAAATAAAACGTTGTATAATTAAAACAAAAAGGAAAAAATCAGAAATAAATTTAATGAAATAAACGTTATAGCAATTTAAAACACGGAAGAAATAAATAAAACCCCTTCATAAGCAGGCTAAAACAAAAACACCGCTTAGAAGTGGAAAGCCGCAAAGGCGCAAGGATTCTGCCTCAGTGGGAAATAAATATTATTTATCAAATAAAATGGATGGTGGCTGCTCGTTATTCACCGCCACGGGGACATTATCGCTTCTTTTAATTATTATCCTTGGATATTTTTTCATGAACTACAATTCGATCTCTTTCTACCGATTTACTTGCCTACCGATTACTAGGTTTTTAATTTTAATCTATAAAGAGGTTGAAATTATTTAATCTATGAAGAGATTATAATTCAATAAATTTTTTTAGTATTTAGTACCAGTTGAAGTGTGTAAATCAAGATCGTTCGTTTATCTGCAAATTGTTCTCAAAAATTTCTATCCTTTTAAAGCCGTCTTTATTTATGTTAATCTAAGCTATACCTGCTTTAAAAAGTAAACAATTTTTTGGATTTAATGTCTTATGTTTTAATATGCCATGGAGAACTTAGTGATCTATTTAAAATATTAATAATTCCTATCACTTCTTGTTTGGTGGTTTACAGTCGGTTGGTAAACGGAAAGATTAAGATGACCCATCTTATTCTATCGGTTTAAATTAAGCAAGTATTATAAAAAGATAGATTTAAATAGATAAATAAAGATTGATGGATACGAAATATAAAGTAGTTAAATAATCTTAAGATAATATCAAAGGACATTGCACACTAACTACACAGTCTATCTTTAAGTTTGTTTATTAAATCCTTTGATGATGGTGTTCAACCATATAAAGTTCAGTTTTGCCTTATTTATGGAGGGTTGATTATAACTTTTATATCAGACAAGTCATCGCAATAAATAACTACTAGCAAGAGAACAAAACAAAATTTTTAAGCTGCGTACGTTTAAAAAAACAGAGTTTAATTCCGCGGTGCTCCAATAGGGCGGCGCCCCAGTCACGCGGCTAGGAAATGAAGGAAAAAGCGGCGGAAGCTGCTCCCCCTCTCGCCCACGCGCCTGCTTGCGGCTTTTTAAATGGAAATTTATTGTTAAACACTTCGTCGATGCGGAGCCGAGTCTCTTAATTTTTACCTAGTTACTACATTTGCTTTTGCCTCATTTAGTTAAAACCTCGAATTGATCTTATTTCATATTATAATAAATCCCGTACATTACATATTATGTATGGAACTTTGTCATATCTTTAAACAACGGGAAACATGACTTTAAGAAGTGATAAACTCGCAAATAAGTTTATAGACTATAGTAAAAGACTATAATTTAAGTCAAGTTGTTTACCGTTTTATTAGCATTAAAATATTATGTAACAGCTCATCATAATAATCAACTTAGGGTAAGTGAGCAAAAGTCAAAACTCTAGAGTCCATAAAATTCACTCCAAACGAAAATCTGGCCGCTCTCCCCACAATTGAAAAGCACAGGGAGAAGTAGATAGGGCACTTACTGTAAAAGTTAAGCTAATTGCCCTTAAGACATATTTTTAATTTCATTGCTTGCTCTTTCTTTCTCAGTTCTGGTTGGAGTTAAGTCGCAACGCAAGGGTATCGCTTAATTGTCATTTTTATGAGATAAGGTCGCAACTTTTGAATGTCGAACACATTTTATTTGGCATTTGGGGTGTTTGTTTTTTTTATGCCTCGTATATTTTCGGTGGCCCTTTATATATTATTGTACGAGTTAAGATCTTTAAAATGTTTGTAAAAAATATAATCCTTCATTTACACAATAACAAAATCAACAGTAAGCTAGTGACCGTTTCCCTCGGCAAGGATTAACCGACGAAAGTATTTTTTCTCAAAGCGGTACCGTGTGTAACAATTCCCTTGGGCTGCGTGGGAGCACGTGGCTGCAAGGGCCAGTAGCCGAGCCTTTGTGCTCTCGTCTCCTCATTCATTCAATATGTCATTTCATTTTCATAAATGAATCATTCTTCATTTGAATTCGGCTCGAATTGTAAGCTTTTTTCCTTGACCGCACTGACCTGCCCACCGAGGGGGTCGCAAGATGACTAATGATATTTTAATGGTTTATTTTTCTTTTAACATTCTTATCACTATTGTAGTTGAGCGGGTTGCTCTTGCTAAAGACGTTTTTTATGAAATCGCAGTGAGGTCAAATTTATCATAATTATAGCGCATTTGTCCTCGTTTCTTAAGTAGGTTTTCTTTGGTTTTTCGCTATCTGCACCCTGCAGAACCTTTTTTTATACCGGATGGAACTGAGCCTTAACATTTCATTGACCTGGACGAGAGGCCGACTAAACCGGGGCTCTCAAACTGCACGGGACGTCGGTTGAGTGCAATTGGCCTACCCTGCAAAATCCTCCGTACCACCCTCTCGCGTAGTCCAGTACCTACCCGGTAACTGGCATGGAATCCCGAGCAGGCAACCCTGCAGTACCTTACTTCAACAATGATTGTTGTGTAAATTTTAAATACAAACACTATAAAGTTTATGAACGAATATTAACAATATGCTAATATAATAAGATAATTTATCTCTATAAACTTTCGTATGATTGTTTTCTCAGTCAGTGTATTATGATAATTTAAAAAAAAAAACAATACTGTAGCTACTACTCTTTTGCGATAAGTTAAGCTAGATATTATAAAGTAAATCCATGCCGTTGCAACTCATATAAATGTGGTTTCTAATTAAATTAAGTACCTAGTAATTTATTAAAATTGAGTGTACTCAAATATAAATATAGTTTATATTGTTTATAAGAATATAGAGCTCGTTCACATAAAAACAATTTTCAACCCCATAAGTACTTTGCATTTTGATTAATTTCAAACATTTATGTGCATATGGATGCACAAAATCGTCTTGCCCATCATCATCGTTTGTTTGTAGCGTGACACAGAAGCCGCCAATAGATGTCGCTGACAGTGGTGATGAATGAGTGCGACCGTTATGCGCTCATTAGCCTATTCAGATAAAAGAAACAATCTGACTGGCGAGACAAGAACGGAAGTCATAGTACGTCGGTATGCAACGTTTCTATTTTTTTTTCACACTGCGCCGCTTGTCTTCCTATAGCGGTAGTTGGAATCAATGTCCGACGGGATGCTGGATTTTATCAATATATATTGTAAGTAAGCAGTTACGTTACAATAGGTTACTTAGCAATATAAAGTTTAAGGTCTGATTTTATTGATTTTACAGTTAAGCCTTGCATTTAGTTGACTTTTAACTTGAATATTACATATCGTGTCAGTTGTTTGTTATGTCATAAAAGCTTTACAATTCGATGTAATGAATATATTTAACTTTTGCTGATGACTTCATACTTTTGAAATGGTCCAATTGTTTCGGGTATTATAATTGGACTTGGAAAATTGAAAAAGCATAGGTAAATATTTCAATAAATAAATAAAAGAGAAACATAATGCATTGTACAGGTTAATTATTAAGATTTTAGATGAAAACTTGAGAATTGCGTAACTGTTTAGTAAATAAAAAAGACAGACAGACATGTCTTTTCTCGAAATATTTCCGCACTCAGTACAAAAATAGTGTCACAACAAAAACTTCGCGTCTTTCCAAACGTTGCCCAGTGACATTTGTTTCGACACAAGTGTTATTATATTTTGATCCCTGTCGTTTTATCTATGAGAAAAAAAATAGCTATTTTCGTGTGCCAGTTTCGTGGAAGTGTCGATTGACGACGTGGCGAGGAGTTTGTGGGCGACTCGTGGACACATGCGATCTAAAATTGGAATTCCATTTATTTTTTAAACGTTTTTAAAATGGTATAAGCGTTGCGTGCAATATATTAATGATTGAAGTGTCTAATTTTGACTATAGTTATGCAAATTTTCTACACATTTTATTACTACACATTCAGTTAAAATCATTACATACTATTAGGATTTTTATTGCATCATCACATTTTAACTCAGGGGAAATTCAATATATTCAATATAAAGCCTTAAACTAGGTTCTCCGAGCCCGTACGAAGAAAGGTCCCAGGATCCGGCAAGGAACCGCCGGGTCCATTACATCATCACCAACCTATTAATGACCCCTGTGGATGGCATCGAATGGAATCGAACAGGGGAAAGGCCATGCGTGACCCATCACTCGGGCCAAATACAGAAGGGTTCGTGCAACGGCTGCATATGCAGTTAGGATCTTAATTTCACCTGAATTCAACCAATCCATGACAGTTGCATAGAAATTCATAACGTGGTATTTCAATGCGACTTTCACGGTAAGGTATTTATGGAGTTTCTTTACAAAGATTTATATTCTGAATACTATTTATTTAAAAAGTTTTTGATAGGACCATGTTAGAACAACCTCACTAGCTACAACGGTTACAAGATTAAACACCACGACTTTATAAATGATATCGATTTGAATGTCGTTATATCGAATCTTTCGGAGATTAAAATAAAAATAGATATGCAAATACTGAGGCTCTCCTACAAAGTATTATATGTTATTTTTATGTCATAAGTATAGATTGATATATCTTATTTAAACACATGTAAACACATGTTTAAGCTATCCATAGCTATCATCGGTCGTGTCATATATTTGTTTAGATGTGCTCGTACGAAGATAGCGTATCCGCCAATGTTGTTCGGCGGACGCGACGATGACGGACGCGGGCGGCGAACCTTGTCACATACGACGCGACATGTGATGGTCTATCATTTTTTGTTATTGTCATCTTTTTGGTATAAAGTTTCATCGAATAACTGAAAATTGACGTATATTTTGAAGCTAACAAAGATGCGGAATATAGTAAATGATTAAGTGCTATCAGTAGCAATTTTTCTTGTTACAAGAAAAACTAGACTAATTAATTCTGTCAAGTGGCATTTTCAATATGACTTAGAGAAGCAATTTTTTTTTTTTTATATTATTGATTTATTATAAACTAACTGGGAATCTCATACAATTTTGTAAACACATGGATTTTGTTGATGAAATAACATTTTTTTCATTTATGAAATAAAAATGAAAATCTTTCATTTCCAATGTAACAACAGTTTCTGTATCATTGTTTGATAGTGTTCCTACATAATGGAACATATCTCTGTCGTCGTCCGTTACAAAGGAAACTTTTTATTGTAGTAAATAATAGGATTCATATTCTTGGTCGGGTTGTTTGGGAAAAGTTAGGCGAAATGGCGGTCGAAGTTTCGAACATTCCATCACTACAACGGATTCACTCATAACGAATATTAAACTCCTGTCTGTATGTTTTTATAGATTAAGTATAGTTTAGTACTCTAATGGCGTGGTAGTTTGCTGCAGCTGAGATGAAGCAATTTTTTTAAAGACCGAACCCGAAATATATCATCACAAGTATCTTCATACTTTGAAAGGAATATCAAATGACGCGAAAACAAAATTTAGGGTTCTTTGTATGTAAACATATGAATCGACGCACTGCATAAATGCACGACGAGCTGAATCGACAGAATTTAAATGTCACCTGTCATACTTTTACGAAATGGGGATTTTTTTAAATAAATACAGATCTACACTACTCTATATATGGAAAATGATGATGGTAAATTGTAAATCTTGTCTGCATTAGAATGCTTGACGTCTATGTGGTCTCAAAACACTTCAACATTTCTTTCATGCATATGTTTTTTCAAGACTAAGTAAGCTATAATATACCAGGTTAAATAATTCATTGAGATATATTAGTGATGAATATTATTTTTAATCCGGTTTTTTGTATAAAAAAATATTTAAATGCCGATATTCTATCCATTTCGAAACTCATTTCGCTTTTAGTACGAAACGTTTAAAGAAGAAAATTTTATGGCTAAACAGATTCGTTTGGAAAGTGAGTTCTGTCGCCTGAGCGAATTCGAATTCGGGTTCGGATTTTTACGGAATCGCTGTGTAGTTCTGATGTTACAAAACCGATGATACGTGGAGGATCTTCTGTCAGAAATGCACAATAACTGGTTGGCTTTATATCAAGCGGTCACTAATACTGATCACCGCATCAAGCACCTAGTTTATAATGGTGAAACTTCAAACTATTAAGTGTCGCCGCACCGCTTAAGTGGCTATCAAAGGGCGCTTACGTGATAACTTATCGTATCGCAAAACTTGGGACGGGCTTCATTAAGAGACGATGCATGGCGTGACGTTGACCGGACAACTTCAACTGGCATCGTTTAATACAAGTGTTGTCCTTCGACGGTCGTTAGTGTTGTGGTAAACTAGAGCACTAACATTGCGATAGATATAGATATATACGGCGAAAGCTTTTGAAAATTATATGATTATAATTTTATTGCAACTTTCAGGTATAAAATGAGTATATCGTCGTTTGCATATCTATAATTTTCAATAAATATCAGATCGTATATCAGATTGCATAAATCATATTAGGTAGTATAGTTTTGTTAAATTTTATTAAAGTGTATTCGTAGTTGAGATAATTTTCCATAAAAAAAGAATTAGAATTAGTGGAAGCTTTTATAAGATGAATTTATACATTCAAAGAGAGATTAATTTTAGATAAACAATATTAAAATTCGAATTGTGAACAAGAAGTTTATGAAAAGTCACATCTTAACAGAAATTCTAATTGAAAATGTATATTATATTTTTGATTTTGTTTTAATTATTTATACTTTAAGGTAGTTGAGACAGTCCTGTTAACTTCATTGGAAAAAAAAAATTGTAATTTCTATAATTTGGGTATTTTTTCTAATTTTATTTACCGAGTTCTTAATCTTATTTGGATTTAAACAACCATGAAAATTTCAAAACAAATAGCATATTGAAATGTGTAAAATTTATAAGGGATATTTTTTCTAAATTTATACTAAAATAATTTTATCGATAAAAAGAATCGATATTGTCTCAAGAGGCATCCTTGATGATGCAAACATTCTTAACTTTCCTCAT